CACATTCACACAGAATACTTACATACACTCTCAACTCAGTTGATCAAGCTGTGCTAGAGTGGGCTGGGAATCAGATTCAGGGTGTCCCCTGCTCCAACAAGAGTCGTCTCGCACTTCCATGTGGGCATGGTTTCTATCCTTTCTTTTATACCCAACTTGTTTACTTAGAATTCATCCAGGTCATCTCCATCCAGGTCATCCAGATACGGTACATGCCAGGAACATTTCATATTTGGCACAGTTGGGTAACTTGTTACAATGGTACCTCTCGTCCCATTATCTTATAAATTTATGATATGTCACTTTATTCCTTACGCCCACCAGCATTCCAGCCTTATCAGTGTTGAGAACAAGGTATCTAGTGTACATTCCAATATTCCTTCATGCCAGCAACGTGAGTTTCCTAGTAAAGTTCATGAATAGGATAAACATGGCTGTTCTATGGCTATATGATTATATATAGAAGGCTTAAATTCATTATATAATCCCTCTCTTGAGCTGTTGCGAACTGGAGAGAGCAATAGCTCACTACTTAATATTGTTACTTTTCCGCTCGAGTCAATTTAAATAAAGAACAAGCATTTATACAAAGTGGAAAGCATTGAATACAACAACAAGTAATCAGAATAAGAAATAGAACAAAAACAATTACAATGAATAAAGTTCTTAACCATCCAAAAGGTATCCAACTCGTTAGTGTGTCCCAAACAGTTTTAAATAAGTTGTGTATCTTCTCCCACGACTGTCTGGCATCAGCTGTAAGACCAGCAACACGATAGATTTTATGAACGTCCTCCTCAATTAGTCCAGAATTGTGAACATACATACAGCAAGAATGATTCAACACTATGCAGACTCCACCTTGTTCAGCCAACATGCTATCAAGGACAATTCGATTGTCAGTAACAATTCGTGCCAATGAGTCAGTTTCTTCTTGAAGGTCAATCATTGTTTTTCCAGTAGTATTCAAACCTGCCTCTAAAAGCATAGAAAGGTTATGAACAAAATGATCTGTATTAATCTGTTGCAAGGTTTGATAGCCTGGGAAAATTGTACGAGCTAGAAAATCACCAACATCAGCCCAAGATCGTTTATGTCTCAAGGGAGCATATATAAATTTAGAACATAAAATTTTATGCACAGAAACAGGAGTCACAAAGATCTCTCCTTTAGATGGCAGTACCAACAATCCTTCATATTTATAGCATCTTTAGTGAGTAATGTTACTTTATACCAATAATTCTCCTTCCATTCAACATTGGAACCAGAATAAATCAATAGTATACATATTAATAAACAATAATTAATTCCCACTTTGATCGAGGCCATCCTGAAAGATGAATCAGGTTGATTTAGTATCCTGGAATGTAGTAAATAATCCAGACAGAAGCAAAAGTAGCTGGAGTAGTTTGGGTTGGTCTTCTTGATCTGTAAAATACATAAAACAAAAAACAAAACAAAAAAACAGAAAATACTAGAAAGGAAGAGTAAAATACAAATAATAATCATATGGTTTAATGATAACATAGTAATCATCATCATCATCATCATCATCATCATCATATGTAAACTATAGGTAATGTTTAATACATGAGTTATACTATTATTTGTTACCTATCATGCATAATTCGATACATATAATATATGATTACATATATGGGATCCACATGATAGGCACACAGTGTATCACAATCACAAAATAAGCCACAATAATAACAAGAACAACAGCAACAACAACCGCATAGGCAATCGCAGAAATTGCACATTTCTATCTGATTCTTATTGTCAATAAATCTATATTTTCAGTATCTAAAGGTGTTACTTCAAGTTCACTTGCAATAGTCCTTCCCTATTTTTCTCGTAGGTAATCACCAACACCTTTGTTCTTCTTCTGGGATCTCCCAGGACTCTGTGAGGGGGATTTTTATAATAGATTGTGATTCAAGACCACCACCCATTCAGATTCTTTGAAGAAAAATAACAATACATTTAGGATGCATCCATAATTTTTATTATGAGTTGTAGTAAGAAAGACTTCATCTCTAGGAAAAAGGAAAAAATTACGCATGCACATCATCAGAAACAGGTTTAATTTGACTACGATGCACCCATTTTTGGTTACTTAAAAGATAGCTTACAGGTGGGATACAATTCAATATTACAAAAGGTCCTTTATATCGCAGTGCCATGCACCCATTTTTGGTTACTTAAAAGATAGCTTACAGGTGGGATACAATTCAATATTACAAAAGGTCCTTTATATCGCAGTGCCAAGGTGTGTTTTTTCTTTCCCAAGCTTTTGTACATTACCTGGGATCCTATGGGTAAACATTCAACAGTGCTCACTAGTCCTTTATATTACTTTTCCATTTCTTATCTAACCATTTCTCAAACTTCTTCCCTATCTTTCAACACTGTAAACCATTGTTATTCTATTTCACTCTGGACCCATATTGATGGAAATCCCAATTCCATCTGTGCTCCAAACAAAATTTCATATGGACTGACACCCAATCCACTAATGGGAGAACTCCTTAAAGCAGCCAAGACTGTTGGTAATTGTTCATCCCAATCTTTTCCATTTGCTTTAACTAATTTCCTCAATAATTCCTTAATTTCCCCATTACAACATTCCATCTGTCCTGAACTCTGAGGCCTCCAACTAATATGTAACTTCCTATGAATCCCCAATGCCTCAGTCATTTTCTCTATTACTTCTGACACAAAGGCTGACCCTCAGTTGCTACTTAAGACCCTTGGGGTACCGAACCTACAAAACATTTCCTGATATAGTTTCTTAGCTGTAATTACTGCTCCATTGTTCCTAGTAGGGAAAGCCTCCGGCCATCCACTAAATCCATCAATTACTACTAATAAGTATTTGTTCCCTCTCTGCGTTACTGGGAGTTTGTCAATATAATCAGTGTATAACACTGCCCATGGTTCAAATTGCCTTTGGGGTAAAACGGGAATTTGTGGTTGTGAATAATCCCATTTTTCAAATAAACAAATTGGACAATTATTAATAATATGAGAAATAAGTGGGCAATGTTGGTTTGCAGGTCCCCATCATTTTCCTCTATGGAGAATTTTTTCTACACCTTCATGTCCTATGGCATGTAAGTCAAAAACAAGATCTTCTATATCAGATTTCATCATACTAACAACAGCAGAGGAGGCAGAATGTACTAAAGCATCTACAGCTCTATTTAAATCAACAACTGCCCACGAAGTCCCTGATTTTTGATGTGCCTTAATCCAATAAACTGTAACCTGTATTTTAAGTATTAAGCTATAGATTCGTTGCCATTCTTCAGATTGTTTCAATGGTCTACCTAGACTATTGGTCCACCTATCTTTGACCCAAAAAGGTAGGAATTCTGTTAAAGCTTAGTAAATATGCCAACTGTCTGTTAAGACATGTAGAGTCTTTAAACCTAAAGCATCCACTTTTTCTAAAAGTATCCGCAGAGCAATGACTTCTGCCTCTTGAGCACTTTTATTTTGCAATTCATGTCAAAAACCCTGACTGGAAGTAGAAACCCCTGCAGCTGCTTGTCCCACCAAGATCCCCCATCAATAGCCCAGAAATCAAAATCAGGCTGAGTAGGAGGAAGGACGCCACATTGAACTAATGGTGTTACTTCTTCCCCTGGGCAAGAACAAAAAGAATCACCTGTTCCCTTTAAACTAATTAAAGGATCCGATGAAGAAAGGGATTCAAAATCATAGCCTTTAAGGTGCAAATACAAAAGCCATTGAGCAAGCTTGGTATTACTAACATGAGGAAAATGCTTGCCCTGTAAAATATACTTCAAAGAACCATGAGTGGATTGGACAACAACATGTTGCCATCCTATAGAGCTCTCAAAATACTGTAATGCCCAAAGTACACAAGCTGCACTAGACCCACTTTCATTATATCTTCTCTCAGGACCTCCACGCTTCCTGGATGCCAAACCAACAAGTACATATTTATTGTTGGCATCTTTTTGAAACAGAGAGGCAGAAAATGCTTCAGGTGACCATGAAGGTCTCAAGAAAAAGGGATGATTAGGGTCTGGAGGATGTAACTTAATAGACCATCGGACCCATAGTTTTAACTTATCCAGGCAATTTGTAAGATCTTCAGACCACTCCCAGGATACATTCTTTTTCAATAAATGATAAAAAGGAGCAGTCAAATCAGCATAATTCGGAATATGATCACAAACAAAACCAAAAGCTCCTAAGAGAGTCCTTAAAGAATTAACATCAGTAGGTGTAGGCATAGAACAAAGGGCATGTGCTCTTTGTTCATCTATTTCACAAAGACCCTGGTCAATTGTCAATCCTAAAAATCGCACTCGAGGTCTTACTAACTGGGCTTTTTCAAGGTTTACTTTAAAACCTGTGTCATAAACCAAGTGCAATACCCGTAAAGTACGTTCCCGTACTTCCTTTTCATCTTCCCCTTGGATTAAAATATCATCAACATAAGAATAAACATAAGCATGATCAGTTTCAGGTAACATTTGCAACATTTCCCTCACATACTTGTGTGCTATTGCAGGTGAATTATGAAAACCTTGGGGAACACGACAAAAGGTGTATTGTTTTTCCCCATAGGTGAAAGCAAAACGTGGCTTGCTTTCTTCAGTCAAAGGTAAAGCAAAGAAACAATTGGCTAAATCAATCACGCTGAAATATTTAGAAGTAGGTAAAATCTGAGTCTTTAAATCTGTAATACTAGCAACAATAGGGGCCATGAGGGGAGTTACTTTATTAATTCTTCTAAAATCAACTACCATCCGGTATGTTTTACCATCTGATTTCAAAACTGGCCATATAGGACTATTAAAAGGGCTTCTTGTTTCTTCTATAATGCCTTCTCTTAAAAGTCCCTCTATAACTGGTTTGAGACCTTGAACGGCAGCAGGGTTTAAAGCAAACTGCCTCTGAGGGGGTACAACAGGACCTGTAATTTCTACCATTGCGGAAACATGCCTTCCCGCCTGATATTTGTTACTTTGATGAATTTCAGGGACCTGATTCTTCCACCATTCCAAGGTGGAATATTCCCCATCCATTTTTCCTTTAACAGAATGGATTTTTCCAGTCAAAGGTACTGATCTAAAAAGATATCCTTTTGGGGTAAACCAAAACCCTTTATTA